GAGTCTTTCATCAGTTCTAGGCTTAGGATCTTTTTTCTAAGAAACATTATAAAAGGACTTATTGCGTAGATAAAAAATCTTTTTAAAATTTCATAACACAGACACTATTGAGTGCTAGTATTCGTTTGCCAATTTCCAGAGTAGAAGTTAGATAATATCAGGGTGGGACAAGTCTTACGATCTCTTGAAGTCTCATCCAGAACTTAGGTGCCGGCTGCCAGAGATTCCTGGTGCTCAGCATTGGCAGAGTCTTCTTGAGCTCTCACCTCTGGGAGGTCTGTCACTTCATATCCAGAGGTGTTATTTTCACAACATATTTCCTCTCTGTCTCTCTGTCTCTCTGTCTCTCTCTCTCTCTCTCTTTTTTTTTTTTTTTTTAAGGGGACAGGGAGAAGCACCATTCATTCAAAATATATTATGTCAGAACGGAGGAATAAAGTGAATAACCTTTTTCTTCTCCTTCATCTGATATCCAGGCTACTATACTGCTTATGCCACTATTTTTTCTTCAAGATCTTGTCCATATAAAAGGCAGCATTCACTTGCATATCAGTAAGAGCTTTGTACACCTCGAAGAATCATGAGCTAATTACAAGACAGCTTCTTTTTTATTTTCCTTCACCTCTCAGGTATTATTGTATTTTTCAGCACTTCAAGAAAGTTATTTCTTTGAAACAGTTTCTAAGCATTATATCCTTTTTTTTTTCCTTTTCATATTTAATAAGTGATTTCAATGTGTCACAGAGATACCATGAGTTTTTTTCATGCTTTACAAAAGGAAAAACCAAAAACAACAAATGGAACACACTCTGGAATTTACGAGGTTCCAGCACGAGAAAGATACTTTTTGCAGATGATATGGACATACGATGCCGTAACAGTCACACAGCTAAGTCTTCTGATGAATTCACACCTACCTCTTCTTTAAGTGGAAGAATGCTGTGTACTTTTATCAGCGGCAAGAGGAAACTGTCAAAAAGTGTCAGATGACCAACACGGAGCACTTACATAGTTCTAAAAGCCTATGGCAGACAACCAAGGAGCCTCCAACTTGCCAATATACCTTCTGGAGAGCTAGCCTCGTGGCCAGACACTGCTGGAAAAAAAGCTTCTAATGCTTCCATCTTTTGCCAAAAAAGGAAAGAATAACACAATACAATACACTGGGCCATCACCAGAATATTTCTTTGTTACCAAAAAGTACGTTATGCAAACACTGTGACTACTAGGAGAGGGAAAATGCTTATAAAGAAAATCTCATGAATCTCATAGTAATTATTTCCCCACTGTAAATTGGACTTAGATCCTCCAGGATACATAGACAACATCCTCTATGAGAAAATCTTGCCTATCAACAGCAAAAAATACCCCATAACTATTTTTTGTATCAATGCAAGTTTTAAACATTTCAAGAGCATCCCAAATAGCAGTTGTCTACAATGGTTTACAGTCACTACTGAATATGGATTCCTCAGATGTGCTTTATCATCTATGTTTTCTCTGCAAAGGAAAATATTACTCTCTTTCCACAAGGGTTTGATTCAATCTGTGTGAACTATAAAAGAGAGATCCGGATAGTGTTCATTGCCAGGCCAGTCAGATGCACTGATAGAAAATTTCATTTTATTGCAACTTGATTTTTCTGAGAAATGTGATTCTCTAGTTCTGAAAGATGCACATCTAACAATTTTCAGCTCCTCCTCTAAGAGACCAATCAACCTTGAAATATACAGCCTACAACTGAAGCTGACAATGACATCTTGGCTCTGAAGCAGCAGTTACTGTGAGAGTTCAGCTGTCACAGAAATTAGACTTTTTTTGTTGTTGTTGTTCCCTAATTGGAAGACTATAATACCTTTCAATTAAATGAGGAACTGAGAACCATACATACATACAAAATACACCATACAAAAACACATACACATATGCACTCACCAAATAAATATGCACATGGAAGCCATCTGTGACATCTGGTCTTTTACTAAATTATGTGTATGTATACAGGGACACGTCACTGCATATGTGCTTACTGCAGACTTCCCTAAGAAGTTTGTGATTCTCAGAGGTGCAAATTTTTGAGCTCCACACACCACTAGACTTTCATGAAGAAATCCAGATCCCACACTAATACTTTGCTATTCTGCATCTTTACATCCAGGGACATACCACAATATATAAGGGTTAATAGCAACTAATAACTGTAATAAAGTGGTAAATGTTAAATCCATTTTACACACACACAGATATGATGAGTTGAAGCCATACTCAAATTACTGTAGTGAATTGTAGTTAGGCATTAGACCAACAGGGAGTATATATTTTTAACTCCATATCACAGAGTAAGATGCTACAAAAAAAAAAAGTCCAAAAATTCTTCTTGCATCTTGCCTTCAGCTTAAAAACTAGCCCAAGCTTCAGTTTTAAAGACTATCATCAGGACAGTAAATGTCAGTTCTGAGTATTTCTCGTAACTGTTTCCAGATATCTGGTTGTTAGGTGGTGACATGTTTCACAGCAAATTTTTTATTCACAGCTTCTGGTTGCAGATCAACACCCTCATGAACCTCATACAGTTTGCATGAACAGTATTTAAGACTCTCCTGTGGATCACTAATCTGATACTACTCAAATTTATACCACTTGTTTAACCTCTTACTTCAGGATTAGTTGAAGACCTGTGAAAAATATTAATATTCTTAGATAAAGAAGATATTCAATCAAGATATGATCTTGAATACATCTACATTTTATTCTATAATCCCTGTACACCAAATGAAGTCAGAAAATTAAAGGATTGTGGATCGTCAAATTTTGTAAGAATTGTACGAGGCAATAGTCTAAATCACATGTTCCTAGGCTGTAATATATGCAGGATGCTCGGTAATAGTTTCTGGTTATTAGATTGTATTAGAATTAGAATTAGGTTTTCAAAGTGTTTGTCTTCATTTAAATAACCTACATTGTTACTGGCTTTGAAAAAGGCACCTGAACAGGTTAGATAGATAGCATTTCCTTTGGAAAATGAAAATTTGTCAAAGCCAAATCCTTTTTGAATATATTTAAGAGGTTCAGCAAACTCAAATTTAGAGATAAATACCAAAGACACAGCAATACTGAAGTTCAAAGCTAAACAGCTCAACAGGTAAAGCAATCAAATGGATTCAGTTTCAAATCTCCTTCTGCAGATCAAGGGATTTAAGCTGGCTTTTTTTTACATTCAGTGAAGCCTCTTAATTACTAAGTTTTGAAAGTCAGTCTTTCTTGTCAAGCATCTTCTTATACAGAGTGAAATAGCTCCAAATGAGATTTTGCCTTGAAGATGTAACAAAGGCAAGAGATTGTACTCTTCATGCAGCAATGTATAGAAATACTCATGCTAGGTCAGAATGAGCTGTCTTAGATACCAGAAGGAGTAGAAAAATAGTAAATGTCATTCTTTTATTAGTATAGACACAAAGGTAAAATATACAGGCTTCCAATTAAAGAAGCAATGCAATGAACAAGGAGATAAAGTAAATGGGAGCTATTCACAGGGAAATACTGGGAAAGGTATATACTGGATTGCTTCAAGAATGTTGTTGTTGTTGTGATTTTTTTTTTTTTTGAACCGATGGTACTGTTTTCCTTATTGACCTTTACACGAGTAGAAGCATATTAATGAAGACCAGAACAAAAGAAAGGAGGATCAGAACGATGAGGGATTAGCTTGGAATTAAGACAGTCATAAAGCTCTGAAATGCAGTGCTACACTGCATTTCATACACTGAAAAACTAATAAGTACAGCTACTCTAAGTTGAGGTCCCCTCCAATGAGAAATACCTTATCCCATATCCACTGGCTTTCTAAAAGATGCCAACAAAAAAAAGAAAAAGTTACTCCAGCCAAAGACAACACTAGCATAAGAATAAAGTTATATAAAATTGCTATTAATAGATGCAGCCTGGAAAGTACAAAAAGATCTTCAGTCAGAATAGTTTGGGAATAGCCTTCTAATAGAACTAATGGGGTGACAAAACCACCAGCTTTTGAAATCAGGTATGTATTTGATAAATGAAATCATAACCTAGATTACCAAAAAATCAGACTGGTTGAACAAATCAAGGCATTTTTACTGGTCAAATGCATTGTGTTAATTTTTTCTTACACTTGATAAAACTGAAGTGCTGACATATAGAAGGAAATGTTTTGTGTAGATGAATGGGAAAAAAAAAGTGAAATATTCCAAAAATTCATTTTTTTTTTTCATGATTTTTCTGAGGTAGAAGAACATATGGGTGGTGTTTTACATTATAATAGAAGCAAGTGCTAGGATTTCCTACAAGCAAGGAATTCTGTTTTTCTGCTTCACTGCAGTCAGAGGTCCTTTGGACTTGCTCTTTTGTTGTTTTTACTTCATCCCAGGACACCTCCCAAAAGGCTCAGTAATCACAAAACCACACATCTTATTAGAAAAAGGTTTCTTAAACATAGACTTAAATTAACACACAGACTGGACAGCTCAGAAGGGTTCTAAAAAGCATGCTGTGGTCCTGATTCCTTCCTGACCTTGCAATGTGTTTTGCTTCCAGCTCTCAAAAAATAAAAAGCATAAGAATGAATGCAACTGAAAAAGAGGTTTCTAGATTCTTTCTTCCACAAATTCAGTCAATGCTTGTTCACATGAGCAAAGCTCCACAGCGTGTGCCAAGGAACACTTGTTTGGGGAACAGATTTTATGCACTGCTTCATTTCTCAAGTTGGTATCTTTCAAGGATCATCTTAGAGGTTTTTAAACTATGTTTATGAGAGACTAATGCTTGGACTCCACTATGGCCAAGGCACCATGCAGCAAGACGTTGGCAGAGAGGTTCTCCTCCTGGGGATGGTGTTTTATCCAGAGAAAATGGAAGGACACCAAACAAAACAGCATAGCTGTGTGGTGGAAATATCCCTACCTCTGTTGTAGGCATCACTCTTCTGTGACAGAGGACAAATCTTGCAATCGCTCACCAAACCACCACTAGTTCTATACAAAATTTTATTTGACCTTGAATTTCAAGCATATTACCAATCTGATAGTAGGACAACAGAAAAACAACACATTAGAAAAAGCCACTTATAAAGCATTGGATAAGCTCAGTACAACTTTGCCTTAATTTAAAAAAAGGATTTCAAATTCTCATGGAACTGTGCGTTTGCTGTTTATGTAAAAGCAAGCAATACACCTTATTAGCAAAGCATACAATGAAAGCTACACATAGCTTGCTTAAAATGAAAAAGAAAACAGCGTAGCAAACATTGCAGCTAGTTAGCCAGCAGTTAGACCATTCTCCTTGTAAACCTACTTCTTCAATTTGGCAGCTGCAGTTCTTGGGGAGAAACAACAAAGGGTACCTAACAACCCATAATTATGCAGAACTGTTACAATGGGGTTGTGCAAACTTTTTTATTAATTATTTTTTTCAAAATACAGCTATAAGCCAGCTATACCAATATTCCATTTGTTTTATTTTATTTTTAAATATTTTCATATAAACTGAATCACCCGCATGGGACATTTTTGACCTTCTGTAGTTGAAAGTACCATCTTCAGTAAGCCTTGGTCCTTCTTCAGTCAGTAGGAGTTCTACCCTTGCATTTCACCTTGGTTTTAGAAAGGGAGTTACACAGCAAAATACTACACTATTTCTATAACCAGTCCAGATATTTCTCTTAATTTATAAAAATCAAATACATGCTTTTGCTCACACAACACTTGGAGCTATGACAAATGAAAGGTACACAAGCCAATGAAATTCACACACACATGAAGTTAAAGCCAGCCACATTCTTTCAAAATCAAATACTGTATCTGTTGGCTGCATGTGAAAATTTTCACAGTAATTTACACCTCACCGATACCATTTAAGGCCTAATCCTGCTGCCAGTGGAGTCTGAAGCTGTTTTGCAAAGGACTTCAGTGGCAGCAGGACTATGGCAGGACACTTAAATACTAAATACCAAATATTATAGTTAATTTTATTCCTATTAAAACTGACGATCTCTTTAAAAACACTCGAGATTCAATTTATGCAAGTTATAAAAAAAATTATTGGAGTTCCTTTTGTAAAGGATTGCATAACCTTTGGGATCCTTATTTGTAATGTTTATAATGTCAGAGGTCCTTTTGTTCCTGGGATTATTGCTGGTCACCTTCCTGAGACTTGAAAGACCATTAAAGACAAGCACCATTCCTATTCCTCTAAATTATTATATCACAAATTAGTAGTTTGGTCCCTTTCTAAAGGGATCTCTCCCCACAATTACACTAAAACACAGTGATGGGTCACAAATTCCAGGGGGACCAACTGGTCCTGGCATTCCCGGTGTGCCACGGTCTCCATCTTTACCAGGCTGCCCACGCTCTCCAGGACGTCCTTCCTTACTCATACCCGGGGGACCTTCCGGACCTTAGTGACACACATGCAAAAAATAAATATATTACAGAGTATTTTCATTAAAATGGAAACTAGTATGGACACACAGAAGCCGTGCTCTTTGCTGAAGTACCAAGACAAAGAAAGTTTTATTTTCTGAAAAGGATACTTCTTGTCACAAACTACTTATATATATGTATAGCAAAACTGTTATCTTATTAAGATTTAAAATAAAAATATAAAAAAAGCATGGAGAGCACTAAGTAAAATAGCTCTTATAAGGAAATATAAAAATCTGCTTTGGTATGCTTATACTTTATGACATAATCTGGAATTACTGGGGCATGAATCAGAGTCCTCTGATTTTTATTTTTTTCCCTAGGTTAGGATCAGGCTCTAAACTCTCTTCCAAATACTCAACTTTGCATGTTGGAAGAATACTTTCCTTCTCTAAGCAATGGTTACAAGTCACATGATTATATAAGGGTTCAGTTTTCAGATAATGTCTGATTTCAAGAGCTGTTTGTTTAGAAAAGGGAATCTCAAGTACCAATTTCTACAAGACATGCCTTCTATTAAATAATGTGTTCTATGACAATTTAAAAGGCATGTAGTGAGATAGGCTCCAGCCATGGAAGATACATGATAATTAAGGTGTAGAAAAAATGTTCACATTTTCTTAACTATACTGATATTTGTATAAACTTTATTAAAAAAAAAAAAAAATAGCATGCACTGAATCTGCACAAATAAGCCAACTCTCACCTGGAGGTCCCGGGGGGCCTTGGATCCCAGGAACCCCAATTCCTTGATTGCCTTTTGCACCATTTTTCCCTGGCAGCCCTGTGGAGTAGCAAACTCATGTATATCTTTGCACACTAAGAATATTTTTATTAGAACAATCAGAAAGTCAACATTCGATAATATTTATTAAATAAATAAATAAATAAAGGACGTAAATATTCATTTCCTTGTAACTTGCATGGTGTACCTGAGTTCTTGATTATCCTTGCTTCCACTAAATTAAGAGCCAATTTAGCAACTAATAAGCAGGTGGCCACTGTGAATTGAGTGAATAGATGATGAGGATTTAAGAAATTTGTTAACTGTATTGCCTTTTCATTGGCAAAGCTTTTAAGAAGTTGCATGAAAATGTGTGAAGTATTCACCACAGTCTCTGTGGGATACACACTATATAGGCAATCTTCTGCAATGTAGCGCAGAATTAAATTTTTACCAAAGAAGTACTCTCTGAGAGGGGCAAAATGCTCTCTTATACCCCTGCAGCCCAATGAATTCAACTGCTTCATAAACATAGATATCTATTTTTTCCCTTATTTAACTTTATATTTAACTCTAAGTCTGTAAATAAACCCACAGAAATCAGTTAGACTGCTTGTATGGCTGAGATACCTAAAAGTATAATCATTAGCTTCACTAATATTATTAAAAAGAAACACAAATTAAAAAAAAAAAAAAAAAGGAAGAAAGAAAGGAATAAATATCCTTATGAGATGAAAAGAAAAAAGAAGAAAAAAAAAAACAAACAGGAAGTAAGAGGGGTATAAAGGTGTCATATACCAAAAATCTGTCTACAGGTGGCAGACAGTAAATGATCAGCAAATAAACACAGATATTAAAATAGCTGAAATAAAGAAATTTGGAAGAAAACAAACTAGAAAGCATGGAAAATACACTGAAGTTCATATCTAAACATACCTGATTAAAAATATATATATATATAAATGCAGTTTAAAATATCTACAGGGGACTGCGAAGGAAACAAAGATCTTTGTAAAAAGATCAAAGGAAAGTATAGCAGAACTGATCACCAGTTATCTAGTTGTATTCTTGTGTTTTCTCTTCTGATATGCATACTTCAAAAGCAAAGAAACCTTTGAACCGCATCCTCAGTGTATCAGCTTTGTGATACAGACCCAGCTATTCCCTTACTGCACCGTTTTCTGCTTCCAGTTTTGAATGGGGCTGGTGCAGTCATAAAGGCCATTAGCATGGTGACATGTTGTTCTGGTTTCAGTTAGGATAGAGTTAATTTTCCTTCTAGTAGCTGGTATGGTGCTGTGCTTTGGATTTAGGCTGGGAATAATGTTGATAGCACACCGATGTTTTAGTCGTTGCAGAGCAGTGCTCACACAGAGGACTTTCCAGCTCTTGGTGCTGCCCTGCCAGCGAGGAGGCTGGGGGTGCACCAGGAGCTGGGAGGAGACACATTCAGGACAGCTGTCCCAGGCTGACCAAAGGGATGTCCCACACCATGTGGACATTATGCAGGAACAATTAAAATGGGGTGGCTGGTGGGGGTTGGAGGAACTGCTGCTCAAGAATGGTTGGGCATTAGTCAGCAGGTGGTGAGCATTGTGCATCACTTGCTTTGTACATTCCATTATCATCATCACCATGATTATTATTTCTCTTCCTTTTCTGTCCTATTAAACTGTCTTTATCTCAAGCCACAAGCTTTTATATTTTTTTTTCCCCTCCCAATTATGTCTGCCATCCCACTGCAGGCGGGGGGAGAGCCAATGGCTGTATGAAACTACAACACATGCACACATTACCTCTTGTCCCACGAGCCCCAGGGCGACCCGGGACACCTGTCAGACCTGGAATACCATCATTTCCTGGCAAACCAGGAAATCCTCTTGGACCTTCAGGGCCTCTTGGACCTGGTGGCCCTGGAAGTCCCGGGGAAGCACTTTGGGACTGACAGTGGTTGCAGTTTTGTAGCCTTCCACTCTGAAGGATAGCAGGCAACTGGGCTAGGAGAATTCAAACAAAAAATTACTTAAAGTGTTGTAACAGTTAAATATAAAAATGTTTCCATACACCCACTACAACAAAACCAGTTTCCTTTCTTTAGGCAATATGGTACCTTTAGGAAACAGGATGCTAAAGTATGGAGTCTGTGGCATGGAAATGTGTTTCTACAGCAGTATGAAAACCAGTGATAAATCAGAACATACTGATCTTGCTTTCAATAAAGCATCTTTATAATTACAAGGAAACTTCTTCAGTACTTTAAACAAGGAAAGAGCAGTAAAGAGCCTTTCAAACTTACTTCTCAGTACATCTGAACACACCTGTCGAATAAATTCTTCTGAAAATTCTCGTGCCTAAATTGAACAGAGAAGAGTTATAAAAACGGAGAGCATGCATGTTTGGGGTTCTAAGGTACTCAAAATGACAAGTATGAGGTCCCATACATACAGGTTTTCCATCTGATCCAGGTGGTCCTGGGGGCCCTCTGTCTCCTGGCTGACCTCTGACACCAGGAGGTCCAACCAAACCCTGGATACCGGTTTCTCCCTTTTGTCCATTGATGCCTCGAATGCCTGGATCTCCTTTTTCACCTTTCTGGAATAAGAACCAATGAAAAGCCAATCATATCTTTACATGACATTTGGAAGCTTTGTAGCACCAAGCAAGCACATTCTGAAAAAAATCTTCACTGACAATCTTCATAAAATTAATATAATCAAGTTGTCATTGAAAATTAATTTGATACTGATTAGATCCATTTCACTAAAATGTATTTTTCACTAAAATGTATTAAGTTTTCAGATTCTTTAACATCTGTTTCAGATACAATAATTTACCAAGGACTTAAATTTCCATCTTAAAGAGACTGATTTGACTTACTAATTGATATAAACCAAAAATCTCTTCTTTATTAACATATAGAAGAAAATACTTAGTTAATTTCCCATGAAAAAGTGAGTAATTCATTACAATACATTAACATCCTTCTCAGAAGGCTGGAAAAATTACAAGTGAAATTTTGGCACCACTGAAGTTCTTGGCAAACCTCCCATGTACTGTAGCAATCAAGACTTTTACCCTACCTTAGTGTATAAGACAGAAGAAAAAATAGTTTGATTTCATTTAGGGTCTTTTGTTTTGTTGGTGGTGCTTTTTATTTTTTTAAACTTCACCTACTCTCTTTATGATTAATAGCTGCAGTCCATTTGCTTCACTGGGAAATGTTAAAATAATACTGTATATCTCTTTATCACAGCAATGGTTCTGTGTATGGGATTACCTACTGCAATAGCTCCTGTGGAGCTCCTTTCCTGTGCTGAAGCCAACAAACCTTCAGTAGAATGTAATTTGGTACATGCCCAAGATTAAAGTTAGTAAACTGTCTTTACTCCCTGATGAGTATTTTCCTTCAATTTTTTCACAGCTTCTGCATAGTGTTATCAGTAGCTTTAACATTTTCTTTCTCATTTTCCAACTGTTTTGATGGAATTATGGAAACAAGGCAACAGGATCACTATATCTGACAAACAAAACTTACTGGAGCAAACAATGGAAGTTTAAGAAGTACTTAGGCATATACATGTAATCTTCACAGACTTATGCTGATTTTTAAATTATGCTTTTAAATTACTTTATATCCTTCTGTACAGTTCTTATCAAAACATTTTACATCAGAAAAGTATATGGTTCACTCAAAGCTTTATGGATTGCTCTGAATTAGTAACAATGCCCAGAGTTCTCCAAATAAATTACTACAGGTAGCTCGATTCAGATTTGGTGTCTGCTTACTCATTTTTATGCAGGGAGCTAACAGACAGGAATTTCACCTTGCTATGTTTAGATGGTTTATATCTCAAAACCATGACATGGTTACTGATACCTAGCTGTGGAAAACAAATCAATGAAAAAGAAAGTACTCAGAACTGCATACCTGGCATCACAAAAGGACCACAGTCTGTTCAGGTTAACTAAGTTCTTCTACTGAACTCATTTAGCTTTGTTGTAAACAAAATTCAATGCCAGTGGGGCAGTGCAACCCTACTATGAAAAGCCATCACAGAAAAATATACTCAAGTGACTGGTTATCTGTGCATTTTAAGCATTCTTGTTTTTTTTTTGTGTGTGTGGTTTTTTTGGTGTGTTTTCTTTTTGGGAGCGTGGATTTTTTTTTTGCTTCCACTATTTTTACAAGACCCACTCAAAAAATAAAAGGTGTTAAAAGAAAGGGGGCAGTTTTTCCTCATAACAACCAGACAAGTGAGAAAAAAACTTGACAGATGTCAATAAAATGCCTAAGAGACTGCTAGAAAGATGCTCCACCACTAAGGTACCAAGCATGAATTGAACAGCTGTCTATATCCTCCTCCCTTTATAGAAGTTATATGCTAATTCAGAACTGATTTGTTCCAGGGTAACTGTATTTTACTTTTTTGTTATTGTCAACTTGAATATTATAGTCACAGAGATTTGATATTCTAGTTACCACCAGATAGATTTGTACTTGTTCATTTCTATTACACGACTGCAAAGGTTTTTACACTTCACAGCTATTTTTAAAATACCCTCAAAGGGCCAGCAAGGCTCAGGGATAAACATACAGAGCATATGTAGCTAGCTGCCTGTGGCTATACCAGAAGCTGTACGTGTTGGGATCTGAAAATAATGTCGTTCATGTAGCCAGTTGTTTGTTTTAATTTCAATTACTTTTACAGCTATGGGTTATGTTTACACAGCAACATCTGACTTGCAAGTTGATTTATTTGGAATTAAATGTTAAAAGGGCTAGAAAGCATTAAGAACCAGTGAACTATTGTGAAAATTGCATCTATTGTAGAAAAAACATCACAGGAAAAAATGCTGCCAAAAAATCAAATGAAACTGCTGAGGGAACATTTTCTGCAGTGCATCACGGTTTTGTAATGTTCAGCCACATCTCATGTGTGGCCTTGTTTATCGACCCTTGCTATTGGCAAAGAAAATCAATAAAAAGGAAAAAAAAGCTCAGTAAATGCTGAGAATTACAGCCTGAAGAAACTTTTTATTAAATCAGGCTGTAACAAATGACAAAATATTTTATAAAAACAGAAGATAAACTAGTTTTATAGGTCTGATAAGTAAACACCATGACACCACTGTATCTTAATGTACAGTAAGAATATTATTGAAAGGATTTTTCAGAATTTTACCATGATTTAAAACATTTAAAGAGGCTACTGCCTCTTTAGGGTGTTACACAAGTAACACCTTAGCAATTTTGGCTACAATTCAGAAAGCACCTATAAGCAAAACTGCAATTTTAAGTATTTCATAGAACCACTGTAGCATATAGGACAATTTAAATATTTGATGGCACACGATCTTTGAGGAATATATACAATTATTGATATGCAACACTACTTTAATGAAAAAGGGTTGAACAAAGACAACTCTAGGTAAAGCTGGAGCAGGATGATATTAATGAGACAGCATGCACCCTGATTTCACTAAGTATGAATCAAAAATAACTAAAAAAATTAATCTTTTAAGTACCAACACTCAAAACAATGTGCAAAACAAAAACTGAAAGGTCTGACCATAAATATATCTACAGTAGTCAAAAAAAAATAAAAAAAAAGATAAGAAAAAGAGATGGGACTTCTAAAAATAACCCAGAGACCAAGAGATTTAGTTTCTGCCAGACAAGTTCAAGTGGGCTTCCATTTATGCCCCTCAAGTTTCAGGCTGAGTTGGAAATCATTCCTGTGTAAACGTGGTAGCAGAGAGAAGAAGTCTGCCTTGCATTTTCTGAGTCAGTCTTAAAGACAGAATCCTCTAAAAAATAAAATCTTTTTATATGCTTCACCATTCCTTTTCATTACTTTTATTGAAATAAAGGCACACAAAGAAATCTCACTGGTCAAGTTCAAAATTACGATAAATAGTACAGATGTGGAAGCCCTTGTCACAGACTTTTAAGGAAGCTAAAAATACAGTCTGGGTATCACCACAGTTCAAAAGGTTTTAGACAGATTTCTGATTGACATTAAATGCAACATTTTGGATCTATAGCTTACATGCCCCTAATTTGTTGACTGCCAAAATCAGTGAAGGTACATAAGAAGGATCTTTGTTATGTATTGTGCTCCGTATTTTTGCATTGGCTGCTGCTGAAGGTAAAATATTGAAAAAGAAAGATCATTCTGATGTATTTTGTAACTTCTGATTTTCCAAAAGTTAGATTTTTTTTCGTCCTACTGTTTGCCTTCTTCAGCCAGCTCCTTTTCTGACTTTTTTATTCTCTTAAATGTATATTTGGCTTTACTTTTTTAAATTTTGCATTTCATGAAATACGCATTTTGCTGTCTGGTGTCTTTTAACTAATACTTATTTCTGTTCTATTTTCTGATATTTTCAAATAATTTCTGTTGCTTATGTATGTGAGTATGGAAATAAGACTTTAAACATATGTTTTACAGAACACAATTTGCAGAAACAAATATAATAATTTTATAATACTCTTTCATTACAAAATACATACCTCTCCTTGTTCTCCATTCAATCCTTCTATTCCCTTCAGGGATTAATTTAAAAAAAAAAAAAAAAAAAAAAAAAAGGAAGAAGCAAGTTGAGCCAAGTTACTTGGAATAAAAAAAATATATTTTTTTTCCCTTTGCTTTCAATAATTAATCACAAAAGTTAATTTTTAAAGATTCTGTGATTTCTATTTGTATAAAAAAACAAATTATATATAAGAATTAAAAATGTATATCATGGTGAATCAACATTTTAGTAATACCCTTTTGGTATACGGTATTAAAGGAACTTGGAATTGTATCATACATATCATATACCATGTATTTTATTAGTGTAGAAGTAGCATATATAGACTAAATCTTACTTACTCTACAAAAGACAAAAGGAATAAAGTTTTTTGCGCTAGCAAAAGGAAACTTTATTTTGTGCATGCTTCATACTGTCTTACAAGAGAGAAATCAAGCTCAGAGCCTTTGAATACCAACTGAGTTTAGAAGCCAGATTTTGCATGTTGGCATGTTTGCATGGTGCCTTTCCTGCCAAATGGTTCAATGGTGTTATTGATCATTAAATGCCATGCAAGCTGGCAGCTTAGCGCAGGTTTTTTCACTTTGCTGATGGACTCTTAGGGACAAGAGAATCTGTATTATATCTTGGAGGAGCCCTGAGGGCTTTAGAAACCTTGGAAGGACCTAGTACTGTCTAACAAAATATTTGAATGACTGATTTTTTGGTTGCTGGCCAAACTAGATAAGCGTGGGAAACAATTTTAGACTAGCCCTGTATTATTTTTTCAGTTTTCTCCACATAAAATAAAATAAAATAAAATGAAGCAAGCAACAGCTACTCAGCTGTATTGTTCTATCTGAAAAATAAGTGGTTTTTTTTGTTTGTTTGTTTTTGTTTGTTTTGCCTTATAATTAAAATAATACGTGACCCATGGAAATGGGTCTATTATTTGCAAAGGTATAGACCAGAAAGTTTAATTTGTAGAATGTCAGAATATGACATTGCTTTTTGTTAAAAAAAGACACTGGCCTTTTAGTTTAAACTATTTCATTTTAAAAATTTTTGCTCAGCTTTACTACCAGACTCCTGTCAAGCTACATACCCCTGAGAGTGATAAAACCAAGCTAACATACAATCTAGACCTCCTGCCCATGCTCCACTGGAATCAGCTCCTTCTGGCTAGACAGACAGCTGTATCAATGTCGTAATTCTGAAAAAACAGCTGTGACTTCCTTCCAAGTCTAGTTTTAGATACGTACCTCTGACAAATACTTTTCTGTTTAGACATGACATAGATTATGTAGTTAACAAGCATTTATAAATACTAACAGTTATTTTCTGTGGAATAACAAGATAGCCAACTATGACACAATCAGAATACATTGGCTCAGAATTGAAAGAAAAGAGAAATAACTGGGTCTCACTGATTTGCAGCTGAAACAGGAAACATCTGTAATTTATGTGCACAGAACATGTCAATAATGACTCTCATTATTGAGAGTCATTACTACTGGGGGTAATAAACTACGTGAAAGTGTAGCATGGTACACACAATCTTAACACCTCAAGCATCACTCTTACAACTTTTCACAAAGGCCACTTTGTGCTGTTATCTGTTTTATATTACTTGTAACTGTTTGATGAAAATTTTCCATAACGAACGCTTTCATAAAATAATACAGGAAAATGAACTTCCAGTCTGTTTTCCAAGATATAATATTCCTGAGCCACAGAAACATAGGCTCCAGGATTTCAACCTCCTTTTCAGAGTGGATCTAGCTAGAGCAGGCTGCCCAATGCTGTGTCCAGCCAGGTTCTGCCACAACCTCTGTAAGCAGCCTGTTCCAGTGTTTGACCCACCCTTGCAGCAAAATATTTTCCCATTGATCAAATTGGAATTTCCTGCACTGCAATTCAAGTCCATTTCCTCTTGTCCTTCCCTATGTGCATCTTCTCTACTTTTATTGTATCTGTTATATTTAAAATACTTAAGGTGGTTAAGAGGTAATTAACACAACTACATAATCATGTTCTACATAAATATATTTTACACAACAAAAAAATGAATACTTATGCTGATGAAAATAATCTTAAGAAACATACATGAATGATAGCTGTCATGAACTAGGATTATCATTTTGACAGTACCTGTAAGCCTGGATTTCCTTGTCTTCCTTTCTCTCCTTTTCGTCCCTTCAGAAAAGAAGAAGCATGTTTTCTTAAAATGTATATTTATTTGGGAGAAATAATTAAACTATCAAAAATATCACAAAGACAAAAGAACTGGGCCCAATCAATCTAAAATTTACTCTTCAAGAACTCAGAGCAGAACCAGTACAGATAGATAGACACAATATCTGTTCTGAAAACACACAAGTTAGGATATGAGTAGTGATAGTATCATCACCTTTTCTTGTAGATATTTCCATGACTTTTAGATAAGGAGGAGGAAAGTGACACCGCTTATAATAGTAGTATAATATAATAGTAGGCAGAGGCCAGGTGGCATTAGCGATTACAAGGATTTATGTGGTGCCATGGTGACTGGAGCAGGCAGGGATAGAGCCTGTCCCAGGTTGGTGGGTCCTGTCCCTGTGCCCCAGATCAGCAATACAACCAATATGCCCAAGCCTGCGTCATCTCTGGAGCCACACAAGGTCTGCACCAAATGCCATCACAGCCTGCTCAGCGCAAAAAATGCAGCTGGAGATTCATACAGGGCATACCGGGTAGTTTTGTTTGAAGAAGATTTAGGGCTAAGTGCTTCTACTCTTCTTCAATCAAAATTCTTGTAGAGCTTAATTAAAAAAATAATCCTAATTAACTACTAGCACTTTTATTAAGTGTTATCAGATGATTTTGACTAGAAAAAAAGTTGATGTACCTGGATACCACTTTCACCCTGGCTTCCTTTGTCCCCCTGTAAAATATTAGAAGAAAAGTCTCCATTTAACATGATTCATCTCCAAGAACTGTTTTAATTTAATGCAGTAAATACAAGGGAAGCATCTAATAGCCTCTATTTGTATTGAATGAAAACAAATGTATCCCCATGTACACAAACACTGAAAAAAAATACAGAAAGTTATAATAAGAAGAGAATCTGCCATAGAAAGAGTTGTCACAAGGAAAATTAGATGCTCATATAACAAGTTAAATGGCAAACCCAGAAGGAGCTCATCTACTGAATGTATGGGAGGGGAAAGGACACAGAGGGGAAGGAAGGGCAGTACTTCCGAAGGGTTAAATTTCATTTGGATGCTAACCACTAAGTGTGCTTGCCTTTGCCCACAGAGAATAGAGTATAAATAATTTCTGTAATGTACTATAAACCCATTGATTGCAGAAGTTATATATGACAAGGCAAAAAAATTGTTTTTCTTTCTAATCAGAAAAAAAATATTATATTTGAATTTAACCAAAACTTTGTAGAGACTAAGTTCCACCCACTTCTTTTGTCTTTGATTGAAATGTTTATAGTAAGTTAACATTTATGTGGGTAACTGGTAACCAGATGGTGCAAATGACACTATAAAAGGCAGGTACCTAGGTTTATCAAGTTGTCTGACCACCATCTAATTGTCAATGGAGAGAATCAGTCTGCTCTTGAAAACTATGCCAATTAATGATAGAGGTATGTAATCCCAGAATGTGCCTCTCTCTCATCAATGACTGAAAAGAAAAAAGTTATGGGAGACCTCTTAAATTAGAGTGACTACTTAAATAGACACAAAATAAAATGGTGGGCTGAGAATGCAGCATCTCATAAAACAAAAGACAGATCAGGGGAGAGGGCAGGGAGGCAAAATTGCATTAAAAAAAAAAAAAAAAAAAAAAAAAGAATGTTTAGTTAAATGTTAAACAGTAGCATAAAGGAGATTTTGGCCAGGGTAAATATTTTCCTAATTGAAAATCCCACAAGAATGTATTTATGCCAGTTGTTGTATTGTACTTGAATGTAAAATATTTGGTTTCGCTTCAAGTTTAAAATGAGCTATAGCTGAAGGGCTTCACTTTTATTGTTGAATGCCCAAACTGCACTGGATAATTCAAGACTGTCATACTTCCAACTTGTAACTCCAGTTAACAAGCAAAACATTTTTCTGACTTCCATCTTCATAAAAAAATGGGTAAGAATTACCCATTGCAAGAATTACCATCTTCACTCTAAAATTTAGAGACTCTCCATAAATTTTAACAAAATCTGCCTTCTTAAAATCAGTGTTAATGTCTTGATCCGTGACCCTGAGATACTGAAACCGAGCATATATTGATAATGAAACTCATTAAACTATTCTTATGACACTAGCTCGACACCAGTCACTCTTGGGCTTCAGTGCATTCTGAAAGACTGTATTAAGCCAGGAAATCTTTGCCCTTATGTGTTCTGGAAAATCATCCTTCAAAAGGGGCTCCTTGACATTGCTGGTACTGCTATACACACTGTTATCATTTTTATTTTTGACTAACTGCTTACTTCTATCTGACACCCTACCTGAACTTCCTTTGACTTTAAAGGACCTCCTGTTTATTCTGAAATCTGTAATTCAGATATGTAATGGAGAAATCTTTAATCTTTAAGTTGAGTCTTCAGCATTTCCTGGGGAATAGTACTAGGCTTCCAAAATATGTGTCAGATACATCACTTAGATATACTCCATTTATTTTTATTTAAAAAAAACTTGATACATAAAAATGTAAAGCTATTGTTAAACCTGTTCAAATATAATTTTAAATTAATTTATTAATTTAAACTAATTCTAAAACTTTAAATTTGGACTGATAGCAAATATGGAAGCATTTTTAGCCTTGACAACTTGTTGCTTAAATAAATACCTAGTCTGAAAGGTTTCATGTAAAGCTTGTTAGTCATAATAAGCCATACCTTAAGGAAACAAGCCTGTTACATATCAGATAACTTACATTCTCCCCCCCCCAAAAAAAAAAAAACAAAAACAAAAAACACAACAGCATAACATTAAAAGAAGCTTTATATTTGTATATGCCAAATAATAATTAAAAAAACTAATAAATCTTTAGCTGACCTGCCATGTTCTCCCTTAAAAATAGAACAAAATACTGAAAGCAATAGCAGTACTTACTATCTTGCAAAGCAATGAAACATTTATTTTTCAGGACACACATTGTTGCTTTTAAAGTGTCCAGAATAAAGAAATCCTAATCAAAATTTAACCTATAAATATAATGGATACAAATAAGAACTTCAGTTACAATTTGAATTAATTGATTTGCAGCAATAAAGTCAGTAATTTGACTTCAATCAATTTTAAACCACAAGAAAGCTCTTTAACCCTGAAATCTCCCAAAATCATGCTTTGAAGATCACAAGAACAGCTGTTCCCAGCTGTTTCAAATATACATCAAGTATTTCCTTCACATCTATTTGCTTAATAGCATATGTAAAGGGTAAATTCTTGGTATTTCTCTCCTTGGCTGAGTTACATAGAAGAAAGGTGCCATCCTGAAAAAAAGAACATCATTTAGAAAACACAACTTTAAGTTCTTTGTTATCCACAGGGCATGAAAACTGATTTTCAATTACTACTAATGTTCAGGTTCTTAAATCCAATTCCACAGACAATGCATAGCTGATTTTTCATCAAGAGATTCATTTCGCACTCCAGTACATTCTGAGAGTTACAACAAGAGATTCTACAGGTATTTTAAAACTGGAAATATTCTATAGGCTTTCCAGCTTCCAGTCAAATAAAAAGTTTTGTGTTAATGGCTAAGATGAAACTGAGAAGTTTCAAAAACACATAAGATTTTTAGAATGACATCTTATAGAACAAAATCTCAAGGAAAGGACTTATTGTAATGTTAATTACAGGTTTTAACATGCAAAAAAATGTATACTTGAATTTCCAAATGTACCAAAGAACAACATTGCCTATAATCTTTTCAACTGGGGACCCCTTAAAGACTCCTTAATATGTTTGTCAGAAAATCCTATACAGCTACACTTTAAAAATAAAGGTTAATATTCAGAAATTCAAACATAAATAATAAAATTTTATGATGTGTTCACAAAGCAGTTCTTTAGCAATGAAGAATATCAGCAATAACCATGTCTATAACAGTGTTTGATTGATGGGAGGTTGCGCCAAGCAATGGTGAGATCCTGAAGGCATGATCTACCTGAGAACTCAGTATGCAAGAAGAAAAAATACAGATTCCTGCCTGAAAAGAAGAAATAATTTTCAGCCAGGACAGCAGAAGTAGGATTCACCTAACCTTTGCCATCAGAAATTTAGCTAAGCTAAAGCCTTATCCAGGCTTCAGATATAGTCAATGGTAATAGACAAGTACTTCCAGATTTACCCATTCCTAAGCAAAGATGTGAATGAATGACTCCCCAGGGAGTTTAGACTCTCTCAGTTAAACATGGAGAAAACCTGGACAAGTTGGCTAGATCAAATAGCTCTTAAGGGCTAAGTGTAATTGAGCTGAATCTGTCCCAGCTGCCTGGGACTAATTGCTCCAGTTCTTAGGAGAGATCCACAAAAGACTTTGCACAATAGAATTTGCAGATATAATGATGTAAGACAATATATTATGAAGTAAATATGGAATCACAGATCATACTATTATGTATTATAATTCATAATGAAAATTTCATTAATATACCTATATCACAGCACTTTATGTTAACAGTTTCTCCCTTTTGGTCATTTTCTCCTCCCTGAAAAATGCTGATGTTTTTTCTGGCAAATGGACCTTCCAATATATACTAAATAGTCTCTAATAATAATTACGTATTTAAAAAAAAAAAAAAAAAAGGAAAATCATTTTCTTTGATTATGACCACTTATAGAAGAAGCTCTTCCAATAGAAGATGGAAGCAATATAAAACCAGAAAAAAACTGCTTACCTTTATACCCTGGGTACCAGGAATGCCTGGGTAGCCTGGTTCACCTGGGGCACCAGGTCCTCCTAGATCTCCCTGAGTAACATAACAGCTCCATAAGTATCAGTGATATGCTGTGAGTAAAAACATACTGCATGTTTTTTCAAGGTCATGTGATATATTTTGGCTATGATATTTTGAAATTTTATAATTTAGGATGATTGAAATGTTTGGAGTTTTTGTAACGGGATGTTGAACACCCACAAGCCACAAAAGACACTCCTAGTTCTTAGTATTCCAGTACCTATCTTCTGTTGCTTTTTAATACATCTGATGTTGATTTTTCAAAGTTACACAAATAAAACTATCTGAAGTTTGCAATGTTTGCAGGTTTGAATTTCATTAAGAGGCTGGAAATTATATAACATTTCAGAACATATTGGTCTTATTTTCATCTCAGTGTAATTTAACCCAACTTTGTTGTCTCTTCAGCTTTAGAAGACTGTAATAGAAGCCTGTGTCATTGTGTACATATGAAGCCCAGAAACAGTAAAAGACTGAAGAAAAGATGAAAGGAAGAAAAAGAACCAATTCCTTTCTGCTCTTCCCCACAAAGCGTTCCCAGCACTATTTTTTTGACTAAAGACAGTTTCTCTTTTTTGATCACTGCCTTCTGTTTTGAATGGCTGCTCTTCTGGTGGGGGCTGAGCTGACCAGTTAGAGTCCATCCCAGTCCCATCCTGTTTGTGGATCACAGAGTCCTTTTTGGATTGAGAAGATAAACTCCTTGTAGTGCTGCTTCCCCATCCAAACACATGTTTTAGAGCATCTCTCTGGCATCAAGGTTGCTGGTTCTCCTGAGTCCTGGCTCCAACACAGCACCATAAATTCTCTCATATATGACCCCTGGCCACAAAGCATAACCAGCACTACAGACAGCAAGCCAGAACTGATAGACCAGTCAAACAGCTGTACCTGCCACAGGGGTCAGCAGATGTGACACTGTAAGTGTTGGTTTAACCCCAAATGCATATGAATTTGAAGGAAACAACCACATGATCTAGCTCAACACAGAATACTGTAAAGCAGGTTTCAATAAGACTGCTGCCTTGTATCCCAGTCTAATACAAAGTCAGTAAGAATAACCTATCAAATGGATTCTGATGTGATTTTATGTTCACTGCTATTCTATTTTGAAACAAAACTGCCTTAATCTTAAGAATTTTATAATGGAAAAGTAAATTAATCTCTGCTTTAACTAAATACTTCCAGATTCATATTTACCTTGGCTCCTGGTGATCCTGGTTTCCCCTGTAGTCCAGGTTCACCTTTATCACCCTATAAAACAACACAGGAACATGACTGATACATCAATATTTTTTATCATATATGGTATTACTAGCTAATATGAACAGACACTAATGGATAGCCAGCTTTTAAAAATAAGGTGTGTGATCAAAAGGCTACAGTACTGCTCCTTTACGGGAAACCGGCAGGTTCTCAGGAAGATGAAATACCCATGACAAAACGGGATCCACCTGCCTGTTCTCAACTGTTCCTTCCCCACCTCTCTCATTTTCCTTGCCTAGTTATACCAGGTTTGTGTATACTGACTTCACATTTCCACCATACTATTTAATAAAATTCTGAAACTCCTTGGACCTGTCTGAGCAAATATGTATACATACTGTAAGCAATAGAATTAGGCGTATATTCAGCATAAGGATTTTCATTTAAATCTAAGAACTACAGATTCCTTTATAATGCTTTTCTGTAAGCATGAAGTTTTCTTCTGGAAATGCAGCTTATATTCTGAATGAGAGATGAATAAAAAAATTAAAAAAAAAAAAAAAAAAAAAAAAAAAACCCCACATTTTTCTCAAATGGAAATAAGACTTTTTTTTTTTTTGATCAATCTTCTTGACCATGGCAAACATTAATGACTATAAAGAATGTTGCCTTCAGTACACAACTTTAAATAAATACATATGTAGTTTTAGATATAAATAATGTATGGGTGGAAGTGAACCTAAATGTAAATACAAAGTTCAGGAAATGGATTCTATATTAATACATTTTCTCTAGGATACACAATTCAATGCTTACCAGCCAAAACTCATTTTGGATTACACTAAAAGGATACACTAAAAGATCTAGATTTATAGTATCTATTTTGGTTTCTGAGAGCATGGGTCAAATTAATTCTTGCTGTAGCTGTAGTGCAATCAGTAAAGTTACATCTGAAATAAATTTGGCTCCTCGGGTGGAAAAAGCAGCACGTAACTTTATTTAACACAATTAAAATATAAATAAATGTAACATGGGCAGAGAGTTCTGATGTATACTGAGAATTATCTGGCTCCGAGCATTGCAGAACATTTTCCAGGACAGCAAAGCTGAAACAAAGTCTCATGACCATTTCTGCAGCAGTTCCAAACCTCATGGGATGACAGGCACCATTTACTAAACTATATTAAGCTCTCTTGAGACCGAACTATCATATAAGGTAATATATGGAAAATCATATAGGTATTCAGCAGTATTCATTATACCAGAAATTTAGCTGCAAAATCTGGGCTTTTTGATAAAGCAGCCATTTATCAAAGTCACAGGTAAATTAACACAAATGCTCACCTTAGGCCCAGGAGCTCCAGGTAGACCAAATGAGCCTTCCGGTCCCATCATGCCCTATTTATTTTTGAAAAAGGCAGAGACAGTTCTATAGTAAGCTAGAGGAATAATGTCTTCAATGAAGTGTAAATTAGTATTACTATTATATTTCTACAGCAAAATAAATGGATAGGTGATATGATGTTTTTTATCATAATACTACACAGACTATAGCTCTGGGTTATTTAGGCCTCTTACTGCCTAAGGAAGGGCCACTGTGCAATGGAAAAAACATTCAGGAAAAAAAAAGAACGGTGCTGTCATAAAATATTCCTGAGAGAAAAACTTCTGCAAATTAAAACTCCATCTGTATCATCTAATTTTTAACATAACTTTAAAATGTCCTTAGCTATAATTGAAAGTGACACAAGTTTTAGTTTCCACTTAGGGTTCCCAAAACTGAAGAAAGTATCTGTGGTATTTCAGAATTCTCTCTCTTCTTTCTGACTATGTAACCCTCCAAGGTTGCCATGCCTTGTCTCCTCTTCCAAGCCTTGAGGAGATTTATCTGGATCAGTTAACTTGGGGCCTAACCTTTGCTTTTTAACAGTCTTTGAGACTGAACCATTCATTCAAGACCCCAACAGTCCCTTGGACTCCTCAGGGAAATGTGTTGATGAAGCCATATTTAACTGTCTTTGTTCCACACATAAGCTAATAACAAAAGGGTATTAAACCATTAAATTTCTGCATTTCCCCCTTTCTCTTTAAAGCTACTCTCAAGTATAATTTAGAAAGGAAATCTTATTTTCAAATCATACTTTCCAAGAAGGAATTCCCATTTATAGTGTTTTCTAAATCTGGTGTCAATATATGTCTTTCTCACCACTTCATCTCACTTCTTTTTTACTCTAGAACCGTGTCAATAAAAAAAAACAAACAATATATTATTATTGTTTTATTTAGACTTCCATATATTCTCTGAAATATGATCTGCTGTAAGAATGTACTTAACAAGACACAGCATAAAATACAAGAAATAACACAAAGTCAAACAATTAAATAAGGTCATGTAATCTAATTTACTAGTGATTAAATGTTATCAATTCTTCCAATTGTTATTATTTTCAAGAACTACTCTTATTATTGTTATTTAAATTAATCTTTGCTTTCACATTGCTTTGCAACCACTGTCCATTTAGTACTAAATGTTAGGAACAATTCAGTTCAGTGATAATATCCCAATCCTTCTTCAAAAGTTGCACATGATCAAAAATAAATGTGTCTACAGTAATTTGTTACACAGACAGTAATCCAGTTGTGACAAAAAAAAATAAATTTACTTTACTAAGACTAAAAGGATGGCTTTGTTTTTGAAAATACAAGAGAAATTTCAAAATATTTAGAATGAGAAGTAATTTTTATATGCAGGGTTTTCACCATTCCATCACTTTTCTGTTATTTTGCATGTGCTGCTAACTGAGGCAACGGAGGTTATCTCAGATTTCTATCATGCTGTGTTGTAATAAATTATCAGGCACCAAATTAATATATTAACATCAATAAGCACAACAACTTGCTTTTTGGGCCACAGATACAGGGCTGTGAATACAGAACACAAATGGTATCTATCGTGAGTAAAACTTGAGTAATTATATAATTATTGAGTAACTATTACGTTTCTATTTCTCTAATATAAATAATACTATATATAGTATAGTAATAATAACACTATATATATACACATCACATATATACTATAGACATCACATAATTTCCAACACTATCCTAACTTTGAAGATTCAATCTGCTTGTGCTTACTTAAAAATCAGAGATGATTCAGTTAATCTAGAATAAGCTACTTTTTTGGTGAATAAAGGTTTACTACAGCCTGTGCCTTTTCTTTCATAATTTTGGAATATAAATTACCATTTCCTCTTTATTTGGAGTGAAGCTTCCACAGTCTGCTTCCACTTACAGCCTGAGAGACAGTGTATTTCCATTAACCTTTTGCTTAGGGCATATGTTTAGAATCAGCTTTGTTATGGGACAGTGTAATAAAATATCCATTTCATTTTAGAACTGAACCTTGATTACACCAAGGCTGTCTTAATTTACTTGCACATCAGTCCTGCTTCTTCACATTTTCTCTATTTCCATTTATATAGCAAAATAAGCTTTTATACATTTTCATTTCACTGTAAGGCTGAATTCAGTTCAGCTTTTTTAAAACAAATTTAATATTATCTACTGACCTTCTGAAACAGAGCTATGTAATGTTTTTTTGCATTCCTTGATGGCCACTTTCCTTCTCTGAAAACCCTTGTGAAATTATTATTTTCTCCTCCTTGAATTCCTGTTCTGTGCTCATTTCTAGCACATTAATTAGTAGAGAAAAGGAAACACAAGTTGAGGAGCAATAGTGGGAAAGGATGAGAAACGGAACTTGGGGATTTCTGGTTCCTCTCACATTGCCAGCTCAGTATGGCCTTGTGATACAGTTCATGTAACATGCTGTTGAGAACCTACCCCCTGCAAACTCCACGCTAGATTTCTTCTAGTTTATGCCCACACTTGGATTAGTAGTAGTTAAATGTTCATCACAAATGTCTCACATTCATTTTATATTATAAGGGAAAAATAAAACCTAGTGCAAGACTTCCTTTCTTGCACTGCAACTAAAAAGCTACAGGAGGGTAACTACATGAAATCGGCACTCTGCAAGAAGAAAACTTTCTGATGCAATATAAGAAAGGCTTGAGAACATAATCTGAAAACTAGGGCATGTAAAATTACAAGAGAAAAATATGTCCTGAATAAACAATAATTCAATAACATAAAATGTAGTGTTACTTCCCCATTTTCCAGATCTGACACTATTTATGTGGCAGATAAATTAATAAATTACTGATGTTGGCAATGTAATAGGGATAGTTATTACTGAAGAAGAACTTGTTACTGAAGAATTTTCCCAAGGTATTAATAGCCCATCCAAAGCTTTCCATCTGTTTTTTTCTGGAACAAACATATTCAGTGTGAGTAATACAAGGAAAATCCCACTATCTTTTCTGGCTAGAATTCCCTAATGCCACATAACATATTCAAATATTCCATGCATCAATTTTCTACTTATTTTATCAGGTGACAAAAGATACATTAAATTGAGTTGTCAGGAAACATTAATATATTATTTTCAAGTCTATCACAGAACCAGATGTTATTTATGTAAAGACAATTTGAAGAAAAAAATAGTGAGTTACTTGAATAAATATGTACATTTTGGAATCACACATGGTTTTATTACAGCTGCTGATATAGCCTCCCCTCCAGCATTTTGTTCAGCTTCATTCAGAAAGAACTGGAGAAAAAATTTCCAGTGATAGCTAATAAAAATGATTAGAGGAACAGGTGAGACCAAATGAGCACGTATTAACTAGAAGTATTCGAACTTCCCAGTTCAATGCTTCTTCCAAATGTGATCCAAACAACTCCAACAACAGGTTCTTAAGGAAATTTATTCTTTCAAAGAATGTCTTCAGGGAGCTGAAAGAGTCTTTTAATTTCATAAAAAGAAAATTAACCAGTGTACTCATGTTATTCTAAGGGGCTTTTGACAGCTATGATGCAGTGGTCACACCTATGGTGGAGTAGGGAAAAAATACTGCTGGCTGGATGCAGGGTAGCTGTACATTGCACAGGAAATTCTGAAGTTATTGGATGACAGAGTACTCCAGAATTTGTAAAACACAAAACTAGATTCAGTCTTCCTCTCCATCTTGGAGTGCATTGGTTTCAACTGATCCTATATTCTATTAAGGAACTTAATCATGACAGAAGAGGTGAGATCATCAATACATTTACAGACATCCATGTCTGTATATAATCTATGTAACATAAACTATAATCTATATTATCTGGAAACCAGAGTCAAGTTTTTCTTGAAAAATGTGAATAATGATTCCTGTTTTGGATGTGCTCTTGATCAACCCACCCAATTATAAATGAAGTTTAGCACATAATTCAAGTACAATTCAGATACAAGATAAAATATAAATTTTGGATGGATCTGAAAATATTTTTTCTCTGAAAAGTAAAGTTAGAATACTATTTAGGTTTATGCATCTGAAGTCCATCCACCTTCTGAGTGGACATACAGGCAAACTTTACAGAAAAATAAATAGAAAACAAATATCCAGTAAAAAATAATTTTCCAACAATGGACATAACATTATTTTAAATCAAAGACCCTCTCACCAAATAATCATCTAAACAATTCTGTATAAAACAAGTACACCCTAAGAAATTTAGAGCAGAAAAAAAATATAGACTTGCTTTCAGGAAGAGAGCAGTGGGAATTACAGATACTGAAAGGACTAACTGATATACATAATCAAAAAGATTAAGATTAAAACACTAAGATATAATCAAAAATAGCAAGGATTGAAAGGAATTGGATTTAGATACACAAAGTACACACTTCATTTAGCCCAATAGGTATATACTGCTCAGCAATAATTGCAGAAGAACAGGATATTGTTAGAAACAACAATGATCTAGCGTTCACGCATGTTGTTGGAGTGTATGGTCTTACCTAAACCACAGCATGGAGAGCTTTTAGAGAGCCACAGTTTGATTTTGCAGACATAAGCAGGGTTTTCTTTAAGTTCAGAATGCGCCCTCTCCTTTCTTCTATTTTTTTTTAATGCTGCATAGTGGCCACTGAAACCCATTTCTCTTTGGGAATGGATAAAATCAAAACTGATAGCTCATGGGGTAAGAGCAAATTCATTACTGATGAAGCTTTTTCATAAGGAAAGATCTTGCAAAGAGATGTAATAGACAAATTAAGAGATAGAAAAATTATGAAACAGAATGACACAATCTGTTAATGATTGCCAAAATCCAAGAATCTATAGCAGTGTACTCACCTGTTGCTAAAATATCAAGAGGCAATGTGATGGCAAGGACAGCAGAGAGAACAGTTCACAGCTTTCACCCCCGGTTTCAAAACTTCATATATGCCACTGGACTAACAAATTTGCCATAACCTTGTCTTGTGACACTGATATTGTGACTTCTATACCTACAGACATCACTCAAAACTGCTCAGTCTCTTCTGTTTGCTAAATGTCATCCATTAATTCCAGTGATTTTTCTGAAGCTCTACCCATAGCATTTTCCTGTTGCTACTATTCAAATCCCTCAGCTTTGTCCAGTTAATTTTAATTTACTGCTTCCTTTTTCACTTCCATCTCAGATAGAATGAACAATCAAGAGAACTATTGTTCTGAAATTATTTTTTGTAAAAAGTGTTTACATGTTAGTCTCTTGTGTATTAAAGCAATGTTGTCGAGGTATTCATAAGAATCTGATGTTTCTTCTTGGTTCTGATATTGGAAACTTTCGCTGTTACCACAATGAAAATCACAGATTTGGACTCTGTGATGATTTATCTTCAAACATATTTTCTAAGCTAAGTAAGTTAAACTGTATCTTATTGTTTCCCATATAATCCTATTTATCTCACTAGTAGCGCTACAGAAATGCTGAAAATTCCTGATTAAATATTTTCACTGAAATGCTTTCTCGGCTTTCTAAGAAAGGGAGGCTGTGTATTCTATTTGGATTGAGTGTCAACAAGCTCATTACATGAGCTCTTCTTCCCATTGCTGACACATTAAATGACACATCAAACACACAAAATAGACCATTAACACATTAAAATAACTGCACATCTTTCAGGAAAGTCAGAAACATTTTAGTCAGCAAAGAGGATAAAATATATAAAGCACAAAACAAAAATATTGAGGTATATTAAGGATGATTAAAAATGGAACCACATAAACATTGTTGAACATTAGTGATGTGGTGATCAGGCTCTTCTCCCTAGCACCAAGTGATGAGTGGAAATGGCCTCAAGTTGTTCCAGGGGAGATATACATTGGATATTAGGCGAAATTTCTTTACTGAAAGGGTTGTGTGGCATTGGAATTGGCTGCCCAGGAAAGTGGTTGAGTTACCATCCCTGGAGGTCTTCAAGAAACATGTAGATGTAGAACTTAAAAGTATTGTTTAGTGGTGGACTTGTCAGTACTAAGTTAAACGTTGGACTAGATGAGGGGTCTTTTCGAACCTGAATGATTCTATGATTTCAATATAAAAAGATAATTATTTTTAAAGCAGCGTATGTTCAACTAACAAAGAAGATCCTATTAATTAATGAAAGAATTCTGTGATTTCTAAATGATTATAAAGAACACAGAAATCACTCTACTTAAGCAGTAACTAAGATGTGTTAAGCTGGACTGTCCAAAAAGACTAAATTATTTTCAATTTCCTACATTACAAAATAAAAAATCTTTTTAAGCATTTTGGGAATTTTGTGACCTCAGCTATTCTCACAGTTCTTGTTGAAAGTGAATATTATTAGAAAAGCATCCCAATATTCACATTCAAAAATCCATTGCACACTATGACAACATATAATCTAGTCTATAATTTCATAATAAATTGACTTGAGTACCTTCAGAGTTAAATCAAAGTTAAAGTAACTCAGAAAGCAAATTCACACTAATGATAATGTGTTTGCTGGATTTGTTTATCAAATGTGCAGTCTGGAAATTAACAATTTGAAAATAAAAGTGTGTGTATATTTTGGGGGATAATTTATAAATTAGATATGATCTGATCCTATTTGCAAATGTGAAAATGCCAGGTTGCTACTATATGTGCTTGTTGGCTCATCACAGGTAGCAAACAACAGTGTAAGAATTATTGGTACTTCCTATTCATAATAACATGATTCTGCAAACTCACAGTTTCCCCTGGTGACCCTTTTGCTCCTGGTTGACCCGGTGGTCCAATTTCACCCTATATTTTTTTGGATAAAGAGAATAGTTGTGTAATTAATATATGTACAATTAACAGTTGTGTTAAATTCCCTTTAATTATGCACATCTGTTTGAGTAGGATTCAAAATATTATGACATTAACTTTGTTACTTTTAAATTATGCATTCCTTCTGGAATAGTAGAAATAAGACCTAATAAGAGATGCCAAACATGCCCTAAGCATTTTGGAATATGTCTCCTTTCATTTGCAGCATGATTTGTTGTCCTAAATATCCCCTGTGAAAACCCTCCTCTCAGTACAGGTTGAACCTTTAGCACAGAAACAGTATATATATGCATAGTTTTTAACTGTGTTTTGATTTATTAACAATACCTTTTGTCCTTTTGCTCCTTGATTTCCAGGGATTCCAGGAATTCCCTGAGGGGAGAGGAGGGAAAGAAGGAGGAAAAAAAAAGTTTTAAATATATGGAATATTTTATGAATATCTTACCCAAAAATACTATATAAAAAATAAAAAAATAAAAAAAAAACATATCCTCATAAATTTAACATTTGTTATATAATTAGGGTTCCAAATATGGGCAGAAAATGGAAAATTAAAAAAAAATAATGGTATAAGAAAAGAGCTTCAGCTGGATACATGCAAACTATTTCATCTGGGGATACAGTGAAACAGCAAAGTTCAGCCCCTCCCTGGTGCTTTCTTGCCAGAACTCCACATCTGCCCTGGACAGGCTCATGTACTCCTGGTTGCCCACCAAAGGCTGTAATACTGTACTGAAAACCCTGACATGGGGAAAGAAACCACTACCCATTATTCATAAGATTCCCATATAAAATAGAGCATGCCTTCCTTCTTCCAGCAAAAGTCCTGGACAACAGGACATCAGGTTTGAGTACCACAAATCCTATTTTTCTATTTAAATTACACTGATTGTAATTTAACACAAGAGAGAGCTATTATCATATGTGATGTATGCTAGCTTCCACTTTCATAAATACTTGAAGATCTCTATCATTTCCTCACCATCATTGTTAATTTAACTCTACAGTATATCTCAAACTGGTTTCTTAAAGCAATAATTTATGTGAATATAGTTTAGCTTTAAAACAAAACTCAAGATACACTTAAAACTGTAATCTATATTCAGTTAATCTGTTTTTCCTCTTAGTTAAATCCTTTCAAGTTTTTTGTACAGATACTGTTCTTACTTGTACCATTATCAAGCTGCAGCAAGGATTTGGTATATAGACTTTGTGATTTAATCACGTTGAAATTAATATGCTATAGTGAAAACAAGTGGACTGGTCTAGACAACACCAAACAAACACATTCTATGGAAAAAAAAAAAATCAACATGAGTGTAACAGCCAGAATAACTTAATAGTTTCCATATGGACTACATTTGTACAATGCTGGCTTGGAAAAGATAGCTCCATTGCTTTGCAGATTATACCCAGCTTCTCGTTAATAATGAGCCCATCAAGCAGAAGCAGTTCATTAGTCTGTTTGCTTGAGTTAACTATGGTATCCTCAGCATCTTGTAAGTCACCTAAATTCCAATGTATGTATCATTAAAAGAAGAGATCAAATAATATAATACAAATAACTGGAAAACAAAGCCTCATTCTAAAAATTCTACTCACCTTGCATAATATAAGTCTTCTGGCTAAAATTTTGTCCAAAACCATCTTTTGCGCAAATAAACTGATAGGAAATGGAGTGCATTTATCACCATATTAAGAACTTCTAGACCTGTCTGTGACTTCTCAGTATATTTATTTAACAGTTTATTTCTGTAGCTGTAAAATGTAAAACTAAGCTATAAATATCCATACCAGAATTTCACACAATGATGAAAAAAAAATCTCCCAGTAGGCAGGAATCTTCTTTTACTGAAAGGATGCACCAAAGCTTTCCATGTTCACATTTCTCAGTTACGTGCAGGGCTGAGAGAAGACCATTCCACATACTTATCCAACACAGGGAATGATTTACCATTATATAAGCATGCTTAAGAGAAGAAACAGAATGTCCTGCTGAGCTCTGTTGCACTTTCAGGGCTAAAAGAAATCGCTGATACAAGACATTTAACTTTACCTTTATGTCAGTGGAAAAGAAGGACAAAACTCAAAGAACAACTGTAAAACTAAGTCACTGGGCCATTTTTTTATTTTCTGATTGATTTTGCACTACTGAAATGCAGGGAATTTAAGCTCTTATTTCAGTGGGAGACTATCCGGACTCTCAAAATTCTCTTATGGCTCATTGACATTCACTCAGCTAAGAATGAACCTATCACTTCTTTTAATCTGAGTGATTCCCAGATTACATGGGGTGGAGATTTTCACAGTTATTCACCACAAGTCAGTTGGCACAGGAGAAGGAGAATGAAGTGGCTAATTTGTCCTTAAAGAATGAGATTTTCCCATAAGGATTATTTTTCTCTATATCTACCATGGTTCAGCAATTGCAAGGACTAGTTTCTGTAGGTTCAGTTCCAGGATGCTTAAAACAGTAAATTTTGTTTCCTTCTCATTGTCTGCTCCAAATCTATTACCTCCTTTTACATGGATAATCCCTGGTCATGCCAACTAGCACTTTCCCAAAGGGCAAAGTTAAAAAGTAGCTTAGATATCTGGAGTTGCTTCTCTAACTTCTGTCAAAAGCCAAACCAAGTTTTGGAAATGTATTAGCATCCTTGTTCCTAAACAGAGATTTCATCCACAGTACAAATCCTCAAAATCTGAGCTTTCTTTTTCTTTCCATCCACCATAAGTAATAAGGCACTTTTAACAGGAAGTTATGCTTAATAGGGTGACATAACTATCAAAGAAACCTTACCGTAACTATCAAAAGATATTCTTCTGAGCATGAGGTGAAACAATAAGTATCACTCCATTTGTTAGATGAAAATGTAATTTTTGTGAAGTGCAGATTGTAACTAAAATTATCACAAATGCCTGTGTTTAATCAAAACTTAATATGAAACAGATTCATCATGCAATTTTTCTGCCATTAAGGGAAACACAATGTTTGGAACTACTACAAATGGGAAAATTGCCACCCACAGGGAGTAAGAGAATCAATGCTATGGAATAATTCATGATTCACTGAGCTAGGGAAAAAAATGCCTTCAGGGATTTTTTTTTTTTTTACAAAGCTTCTAAGCAACATTTTGAAATATGAAATACAGAAAAGGTTGTAATTCTAGATTTTCTTTTCTTCCTCTTTCCAGAAAACTTATTTTAAATGGTTTGTATTTATCATATATACAGTTACAATACCAATAAACATAGCATTACATTTCTAACCAGAATTAACTACAAATCAAAGCATCTACTGAGCTTTTATGCTTTCTATCCTTACACACATTGGACCATCTTACCCTTTAGAGGCAGTTCATTTCTTGATGTTCTTTTGCCTCAAATTTCATGTAAGGCTTAGTCAATTTGGTATTTAAAAAATAAGCTTATTGCAAGTCTTACCACTGCCTTAGTCAGCTCTTTCAGCATCAGCTGTCTGACTTTCTTAACTGTCTTAATTTCACAGAATCACAGAATTTCTAGGTTGGAAGAGACCTCAAGATCATCGAGTCCAACCTCTAACCTAACACTAACAGTCCCCACTAAACCATAGCCCTAAGCTCTACATCTAAACGTCTTTTAAAGACTTCCAGGGATGGTGACTCCACCACTTCCCGGGGCAGCCTGTTCCAGTGTCTAACAACCCTTTCAGTAAAGAAGTTCTTCCTAACATCTAACCTAAAACTCCCCTGGCGCAACTTAAGCCCATTCCCCCTCGTCCTGTCACCAGGCATGTGGGAGAACAGGCCAACCCCCACCTCACTACAGCCTCCTTTAAGGTATCTGTAGAGATATCCTAGTAAGCCAAACTCTTAGGTTTAAAACTTTGGCTTCTCTACTGCAGCCTTATCATGCACTACTAAGTTTGTGCCTAAAAGCTAACACGATCAATCACATATCAGTCTGACTGCTAACTATTTTTTTTTTTAATTTGAGATACATCTGTGTTCCCCTTTTATTCATCCTCCTTTGCCTGATAAGTTTCTACAGACACAGCTAGCAAAGCCTCCTGAAAGTCTTCACTAAGATTTTTGACTAAGAATCACAATAAAAGTAACTGTAAACTAGGATATCCAAGGGTAAAATGAGTTCTGGGTGTCCTTTCCATGTGGGAAATACCACTGCTTAGCCATTGGTCTCCCTGCTTCACCACAGAGTGAAGTTTGCCCGGACATGGAACTAAATCCCTTGATGCAGTCTTCCTCAGTAGCAGCCTCCACAGCTGGGAATTCCGGATGCGTAAAAGCAAGAATTTGTTTCAATTATGATGATGAGCTTAAACAATTCTGTATAAATACTCTATGCTATCCCAGTTTTAGCAATTTAAATAAATCTTCCATTATTTGATAATATCTGGCAGATATAACGGATTTAACTGTAAAAGGAACATAGTTTCACAATCCCTGGAAAATCTGTCTTGCAGCTTTCCTTAATCATGAAGTGTCTATTTTTGTTTTTGGATGATATTAAACAGCTGGATTTTTTTCCATGCAATCCAAGTAAAAATCCACTACGTTGGCCAAGGCTTTATATACAAATCAATTAGGTGTAAGCATTTTTACTTAAGGTACAAGCTATACTTCTCAAAATATTTCACCCCCTTTTACTAGTTAGCATCATGGATTATTTATATCTCCCTCATGCTTATGAATAGCAGAAGAAACCACGCATAAAAGCTTTTGCAAGGAAAGCAAAACATTATTTTACTCCTAAAATGAGCATTTATCACCTTATTCTATTATTTTCTGCTACTGTCTTTAATATTTCCTGTCTCTTCAGTGCCTGGTAGAACATCACCCTTTGGCACTGGTCAACAGCTTGTGTAAGGAAAATTTATAGACTTCAGAAAACATGCATTATCATAAAACATTCTCTCTAGAAAATACAAGATTCTAGAATATTTTCACATGATTCTCTGTTATGAGCAAACTGTTTTGCGGTCAATTCACCAAGAAGATAGAAAAAGCATTAGTGCAATCACCTTATTTTCTAAAGGCAGGTATACAAAACCATAATATCTGAAGTAGTATCATTTTTTCTATTAAAAATTATCATGATTGTAAAAGATGGGATTAAAAAAATCAGTTTAAACTGAGACCTTTTGAAAAACAATATATATATATATATATATAAAGATGTTTAAGCATACAACTTTTATTTCTGAGGTCATTCTTTGGGAGAAGAAATCTCGGCTTCTTTACTACTGTTGTTGAACATTATGGTTTATTTTATAACATAACATAGTATCTGCTTTAATTTCTTACTTTCATATAAGGATTGTCAGTGAGGTTATTTTGTCGTGACTCCACGTTGTTTAATTTATATTAATG